AAGCCATGAGAAGAAAGAGGAGAGAATACGAGAGGAAAAGAACAGGCGAAGAAAGGGTGGTGGAAAGGGGTACAGATGGGAGGAAGTATATATGTTAGTGAGTATAGATGGGAGGGAGTATAGATGGGAGTATCGATGGGAAGGAGTATAGATGGGAGTATCGATGGGAAGGAGTATAGATGGGAAGGAGTATAGAAGGGAAGGAGTATAGATGGGAAGGAGGGAGGATAGATGGGAAGGAGTATAGATAGGAGTATAGATGGCAGGGAGTATAGATGGCAGGGAATATAGATGGGGAAGTATAGATAGGAGAGTATAGATGGGGGAGTATAGATAAGAGGGAGTACAGATGGCAGGGAGTATAGATGGGAGTATATATGGGAGTACAGATGGCAGGGAGTATAGATGGGAAGGAGTATAGATGGGAAGGAGTATAGATGGGAAGGAGTATAGATGGGAAGGAGTATAGATGGGAAGGAGTATAGATGGGAAGGAGTATAGATGGGAAGAAGTAATGCTGTAAGAAGTGCACAGAGAGAACGGGGAGTGGGATACACGACGTCAAGGTGGGAAGGAGTATAAGTGGAAGGAAAAGCGTGGGGAAGGAAAGGGGAGTGGAAGGGGGACAGGGGGAGGGGTAGGAGTATGGAGGGGATCCTAGGAGAGGGGAGGAGGGGGGATGTAGATACTCCTCGTCACGCTCTTATCAACGTCACTCACTTGGTCGTTAAACGTCCCGGGTTTTTCTTACGACGGAAGGACGGATAACCATACAAAAACTCGGCTGGTTTAACCCACTGGATTAAGACGAGAGAGAGCTGGGAGGGAGTAGAGGATGGAAGGGAGTGTGCAGTGGGAGAGGGAGAGAGAGGGAGAGGGAGAGGGAGGGAATGAGGGAGGGAGGAGGGAGGGAGGGGAGGGAGGGAGGGAGAGGGAGGGAGGGAGAGGAGAAGAGGGAGAGGGAGAGGGAGAGGAGAGAGAGAGGAGAGAGAGGAGAGAGAGAGAGAGAGAGAGAGAGAGAGAGAGAGAGAGAGAGAGAGAGAGAGAGAGAGAGAGAGAGAGATGCAGGATACGAGGGGGAAAAAGAAGAGTAGATTAGTAGGGTAAACTTAGTTTGCTAATCATGAACGTAAAAACACGACGTGTGTACATATTCAAAATACGCACAAAAAAAAAAAAAAAAAAAACTGAAATGCTCCGGAAGCAAAGCTTTGGCTGGTCTCAACGATACGCAAGCCGGCAGTAAACATTGAAAACTACACGGATTTACGTGCGCAGGGACAGGAACATAGATACCTAACGTCAGTACCTGACCTACCGGGCGGTGGTTCGTACATTGGATTGCATTCGGCTGGCATTACCAAACTGGTTGATTAGGCTCTGATCCACCGCGAGGTCTGGTCATGGACCGGGCAGCGGGGCCGCTGACACCCCGGAACATCCTCCAGGTAGCCTCCAGGTATCTGATCACAACGATATGGATATTCAGAAAAAGAAACACACACAGCTAACACGGATTTAGGAAAGCAACATAATGCTCGCATAAGATTTTGGCATGCAGGGAAAGAGACACATCTGATAACACAGAATTAGGGATTCAGGGGAAAGAAACAGAATGCTAACGTGCATTTAGGTATTAGGGAAGAAAACACTGTCTCACGAAATTAGACATTTAGGGAAAGAAACACACTTGATCAGGAATCGTGGAAAGACAAGGTATCGTGAGATACACCACACTAGCTCACAAACACCATGTTCGATCTAGTCGACAAGAACTCTCTGCCAACCCACAGACTGAAAACAGAAAATCCTCAACAAATCGTCAACACTGCACTAAGGTGAGTTGAACACAGGGAGACATACAGTTGCATGTCCACTTGCTTGCTTGCTTCCTTCCGTGCGTGTGTAATTACTTGTTGGTAGCTACAGGAACACAGCTACTCAAGGTGTCCTGTCTAAGGCATCTGTTACTGAACATCTTATAAGCTTCCAGGGGATGTAGTACGTGCTACCTCCACTTGTAATCTATTCCAATGTTCTGCCACTCGAAGTCATGATAGATACACCGAGAAATGCATTCCTATCAACGTGTATATACTGAGTTTAATCTCTACTTTAGAGATTAAAGGGCTCTTGTCTGATGGTGAAAAAGGTTCCGTGACGCCTTTAACGACCCTAGTGTAGTCGCTTGGCTTTAAACCCTACTACCACAATTTGTATTGCAATACAAATTCCAGTATCACCTTGTCATCTCTTCTGCCTTAACTCATAGTAAGATAAGAATTTCTCGGGTTTTTAACCTGAGGAGGGTTAGCTACCCAGGATAACCCAAGAAAGTCAGTGCGGCATCTGATTTCCATGGTGGTCCTTCAATCTTGTCCCCTAGGATGCGATCCACACCAGTCGACTAACACCCAGGTACCTACTTACTGCTAGGTGAACAGGGACAGCAGGTGTGCAGACAGCATGTACTGTCTGCTACTTTCACATCCCACGGCACTACGGTGCTGCCCTTCTCTAGGCCTGCCCAGGTCAGTGAGACGCGAAGCCTACCCGCTCTCACTTCACGGCCTACCCTCACGGGTTCAACAAATTCCTCTACACGGACTGGATATCGGTCATCCCCTCACTTTGCCCGTTGTGTACTCACTAGTCTACGGCTGTATCTCTGCAACCTACGCTACCCCTTCGGCACTAAACCGATGTTCAACAGCAAGAACAGTGTTAACAGGTGAAAGGAAACATGGTTCAGTCCCCATCTGGGGACTGAGCCATGGACATAGTATGAGGCGATAGCGTTAACAACTGAGCCACGGGACACTGTGATGGACTCTTATTCTCCCTGTTCATCGTGGAGGGAAAATTTTCAGAATGTAGAGGCAAAGGGGGATTACCAACAGACCCCTGGCAGTCTTCAAGCTGGCACTGGACAAGCACCTAAAGTCAGTTCCGGATCAGCCGGGCTGTGGCTCGTATGTTGGTTTGCGTGCAGCCAGCAGCAACAGCCTGGTTGATCAGGCTCTGATCCACCAGGAGGCCTGGTCTCAGACCGGGCCGCGGGGGCGTTGACCCCCGGAACTCTCTCCAGGTAAACTCCAGGTAAAGGCAAGCTGCCGACACGAATGAAACACAGGCCTTTGTTTGTTCAATGTTTCACCCAACACTGGGTGAATGTTTCACCCAACACTGGGTGAAATGTGAGTTAATATGCAGCATTTAAAAAAAATAGAAAAAATATAGAAATTTTAGTGCCAAAAGTACCCTTGGGGCCCATAATTACCGAGACACTTGATTCGCCTGACACACGGAAATCAGTCACGCAGGTCAATATATGGCAATCAGACCATTACATGTAAACCTAACTAGACAATGGTCCAGAAACGATCGAAACGTCGTCACAAGGTAAGGCTAGGTAAAAGAAAGAACAAAATGGCACAATACCGTTACTGGAATAATATACAAATAACCAGCAAATAGAAGAGAAAAGCTTATAACATTTTGGTACGAAGCATGACTGAATATATATATATATATATATATATATATATATATATATATATTTATATATATATATATTATATATATATATTATATATATATATATCGTGCCGAATAGGCAGAACTTGCGATCTTGGCTTAAATAGCAACGCTCATCTTGCCATATAGGACAAGTGAAAATTTGTGTATGCAATAATTTCGCCAAAATCATTCTGAACCTAACGAAAAAAAATATATTTCACTGGGGTTGTTTAGTATTAAATTATTGTAAACAAATCTAAAATATATTTAGTTGGATTAGGCTAAAATAAATTGTTCTTTTTATAATAAGGTTAGGTAAGTTTTCTAAGATTCTTTTGGTGCAAAATTAAATTTTTTTACATTAACATTAATGAAAAAAATATATCTTTAAACGTATAAGAGAAAATTTTAGAAAGGATTTAATTTTAAATGAGTTCTTGCTAACTGACCAGTTTTACATATTCGGCACGACATTATATATATATATATATATATATATATATATATATTATATATATATATATATATATATATATATATATATATATATATATATATACACACACACACACACACACACACACACACCTCCTCCTTTTAACCCTTTCGGAACACTTTCTAGGCCTTCTAAATATGCCTATGCTCTTGTGCTACCGTCCGCAAGATGGATATGAGGTGCACAATAATACACTAGCCGCTACAAATCACATTAATCTAAATCATTTGTGAACAAGAACTATAACATGCAGATTTTAAAACACTTAAGTATCACTGCTCCAAAGAATGTTGAATGAAATACCTTGTGAAAAAAAAAGTTGCAAGTGAAAGGTGACATGCGTAAGCAAAGGGTAAAAACGAGGGAGTGAGACGGACAGCTATTTAATTATGGATGCTCGCCTTCAACTGCATTTCCAAAAAAATAGCACTACTGTCTAGAGCATAATTTTATAAGACAACTTACTGTATTCATTTTCCAATTACTCTTTTTTCATCTACCAGGTTATCAGTCCCTGGTCGCATGAGTGGTTCGAAAATACCTGAACAGCCTCAATATAAACCGAGATGTATATCTTTCAGTGTATATATGTTGAGAGTTTAGGGATAAAAGTATCCTTTACTTGCGATACAGAGGTTACAGGCAGTCTTGATGGCTGTCGTGTAGGCGACGGCCTTACTCCCATTAATCAACCAACAGCAGTAGTGTCACTTTTCAAGACACGAGCATCGACTATTAACACCAGAAGTTTCACCTTCCAAGATACAGTCACCACCACCACTAACATTACAGTGTCACCATTCAAGACACGATCCCCACAGCTAATACTAGCAGTGTCACCATTCAAGATATGAGCACCACCACCTGCACCAGCAGTGTCACCATTCAAGACATGAGCACCTGCACCAGCAGTGTCCACAACATGCACTACACAGTCACCAGAATAGCACCTGCACCAGCAGTGTCACCATTCAAGACATGTCACCTGCACCAGCAGTGTCACCATTCAAGACGTAAGCACCAGCAGTGTCACCATTCAAGACGTAAGCACCAGCAGTGTCACCATTCAAGACATGAGCACCTGCACCAGCAGTGTCACCATTCAAGACATGAGCACCTGCACCAGCAGTGCCACCATTCAAGACGTAAGCACCAGCAGTGTCACCATTCAAGACATGAGCACCTGCACCAGCAGTGTCACCATTCAAGACATGAGCACCTGCACCAGCAGTGTCACCATTCAAGACGTGAGCACCAGCAGTGTCACCATTCAGACATGAGCACCTGCACCAGCAGTGTCACCATTCAAGACGTGAGCACCAGCAGTGTCACCATTCAAGACATGAGCACCTGCACCAGCAGTGTCACCATTCAAGACGTGAGCACCAGCAGTGTCACCATTCAAGACATGAGCACCTGCACCAGCAGTGTCACCATTCAAGACGTGAGCACCAGCAGTGTCACCATTCAAAACATGAGCACCTGCACCAGCAGTGTCACCATTCAAGACGTGAGCACCAGCAGTGTCACCATTCAAGACATGAGCACCACCACCTGCACCAGCAGCAGCAATGATAAACAGCGTCGCAGGAGGGGGCCCTGTCACGGTCAACACTGCTGAAGGTGTATCAACAGGAGGAGTCATGCGGAGAATAAGCAGAAAGAAGTGATGATGTTGACATGCACTACAACATCGCCAACATTTACATCACAATGTTTACAACATCCACAGCCGTGTTAGACACACCAACAGTAATGACGCACAAAAAAAAAAAACTCGCGACAGCTGCACGACACTTTAGTCAGGCGAAAGCACCTAAAGAAGGGCTATTTATATGCCGTTTATTACAGTGATTGCGTCTAACGGTGGCAGCAACAGCAGCAGCAGCATACTGCTAGTGGATGCAGACATGGTGAGGGAGCTACCACGAACTACACGCTGGTAATTATCAACAATCTGACTGGTCAGAGACCAGACTGGGATTAGAGGATGGACGACGAAGCCTTCGCCACTCCCTGTGGTAAATAATACATACGATTATAGCACGATATCTTTGAAAGCTGAGGCAATCTAAGGGCATACGGTCTTGAATTATTAAATTATATATATATGTGTGTGTGTGTACTCACCTAATTGTACTCACCTAATTGTGGTTGCAGGGGTCGAGACTCAGCTCCTGGCCCCGCCTCTTCACTGATCGCTACTAGGTCCTCTCTCTCTGATTCCTGAGCTGTATCATACCTCTTCTTAAAACTATGTATGGTTCCTGCCTCCACTACTTCACTTGCTAGGCTATTCCACTTCCTGACAACTCTATGACTGAAGAAATACTTCCTAACGTCCCCGTGACTCGTCTGAGTCTTCAGCTTCCAGTTGTGACCCCTTGTCCCTGTGTCCCCTCTCTGGAACATCCTATCTCTGTCCACCTTGTCTATTCCCCGCAGTATCTTGTATGTCGTTATCATGTCTCCCCTGACCCTTCTGTCCTCAGTGTCGTCAGTCCGATCTCCCTCAACCTTTCCTCGTACGACATTCCCCTGAGCTCTGGGACTAGCCTTGTTGCAAACCTTTGTACTTTCTTTAACTTCTTGACGTGCTTGACCAGGTGTGGGTTCCAGACTGGTGCTGCATACTCCAGTATGGGCCTAACATACACAGTGTACAGTGTCTTGAACGATTCCTTATTAAGGTATCGGAACGCTATTCTCAGGTTTGCCAGGCGCCCGTATGCTGCAGCAGTTATTTGGTTGATGTGTGCCTCCGGTGATGTGCTCGGTGTTATGGTCACCCCAAGGTCTTTCTCCCTGAGTGAGGTCTGTAGTCTTTGTCCACCTAGCCTTACTCTGTCTGCGGTCTTCTTTGCCCCCCCCATTTCATGACTTTTGCATTTGGCTGGATTAAATTCGAAAAGCCAGTTATGGCCCAATGTCCGCCTGTCGGGTCTCTTTGCAGTCCTGCCTCACCCTCATCCGTTTTTAATTTTCTCAAAACTTCACTCATCTGCAAAGGGGACACTTAGGTCTATTCCTCCATCATGTCGTTCACAATATAAAAATGCACGGCCCTAGAAACTGCCCCCTGTGGGCCCCCCGCTCGTCACAGGCGCCCCTGTGTCCCTCTTCACGTACCATGACTCGTTGCTGCCCCCCTGTCGGGTATTCCCTGATCCTTGCGTGCCCCCCCTGTTACATGCGCCTGATCCTCCAGCTTCTCACTAACTTTGGGGGGGAAAACTGTTAAAAGGCCTTTCCCTGCATTAGGAAAACCAAATCCACCCACCCCTCTCTTCTGTCTTATTTCTTTTCCCTTTGTCAAAAACCCGGGGGTTGTGATAAAGATTTCCCTTCCCATGAACCCATTTGGTTTTCATTTATAATCTTCCTTTCCAGGTTTCGACCACTCTCCCCTTTAAAATCTTCCCCTGACTTTGCACCAATAAATTCAAACACAGGTCTGTAGTTTAGCGCCTCGTTTCTGTTTCCTTTCTTAAATAGGGGGCTACATTAGATTTCTTCCATTTTCGGTAGTTGCCCTTTAAAAGGGATGTGTTGAAGTTTGGGTTGGGCACGTACACATCTCTGCTCCTTCCTAAGGCCCCATGGGGAGATGTCCGGCCCATCCCCTTTGGGTGGCCCCCACCCTCCTCCCAGTTGTTCGTATGTATCCAAACCTTGTTGGTATTTTTTCCCCCTTGTTTCCCTTCTGTGCTGTCTTCCCCAAACCCCCCTGTCTTACTGTAAAAACTTCCTTAAATCTCCTGTTCAGCCCTCCCTACCTCCTGATTTTTTGTGATTCTCCCCTCTGTCCTTAAACTGATCCTGGGCTTTGACTGTTGTTCCTCTGATGTGACATACAAAAAGTTCGGGCAGTCTTTTCTCGATGCTAGTCATTTTCAACTGTCGTGTGTGTGTGTGTGTGTGTGTGTGTGTGTGTTGTGTGTGTGTGTGTTGTTGTGTGTGTGGTGTGGTGTGTGTGGTACTCCCTATTTGTATCACCTATTTGTGGTTGCAGGGGGTCGAGTCCTAGCTCCGCCCCCCTTTCACCCGGGTTTTACTAGGCCCCTCTCCCCCCCGCCCCATGGCTTTACAAAACCCGTTTAAAAAATTGTATGGTTCCTGCCCCCACTACGTCTTTTTTTAGGCTTTCCATGCCTTACAACTCTATACGAAGAAATACTTCCCACTACTCTCTGACTCATTTGTGTCTTCAATTCCAATTTTGGCCCCCTTGTTTCTGTGTCCCTCCCTGGGAAAATCCCGTCCTTGTCCACCTTGTCTATTCCACGCAGTATTTTTTAAATTTGTTTCATGCTCCCCTGACCCCCCCTTCCTCCGTGCGCAGGGCCCTTTCCCCTTTAAACTTTCTTCAAGGAAATTCCCCTTAGTCTGGAACTAACCCTTTTTGCAAACCTTTTTACTTTTTTCTATTTCTTTACTGCTTTACAGTGCGGGTTTTCCAAAAAAAGGGGCTGCATACTCCCGTAGGGGCCCGACATCACGGTTACAGTGTCTTGAAGGGATTCCTTACTAAGGTATCGGAATGCGTTCTCAGGTTTGCCAGGCGCCCATATGCTGCAGCAGTTATCTGATTGATGTGTGCTTCCGGAGACATGCTCGTGTTATACTCACCCCAAGATCTTTCCCCTTTGGGAGTGAGGTTTGCAGTCTTTGTCCACCTAGCCTATACTCTTCTGCGGTCTTCTGTCCCCTTCCCCTACTTCATGACTTTGCATTTGGCAGGATTAATTCGAGAAGCCATTTGCTGGACCAGGTGTCCAGTCTGTCCAGGTCTCTTTGAAGTCCTGCCTGGTCCTCATCAGTTTTAATTCTCCTCATTAACTTCAATCATCTGAAAAACAGGGACACTTCTGAGTCTAACCCTTCCGTCATGTTTGTTCCAAATATACCCAAAAAAAGCACTGGTCCTAAGACCGACCCCTGTGGGACCCCGCTCGTCACAGGTGCCCACTGTGATACATCATTACGTACCATGACTCGTTGTTGCCCCCTGTAGGTATTCTCTGATCCATTGCAGTGCCCTTCCTGTTATATCGCCTGATGCTCTAGCTTCTCACTAATCTCTTGTGAGGAACTGTGTCAAAGGCCTTCTTGCAGTCCAAGAAGATGCAATCAACCCACCCCTCTCTCTCTTGTCTTACTTCTGTTATTTTATCATAGAACTCCAGAAGGTTTGTGACAGGATTTGCCTTCCGTGAATCCGTGCTGGTTGGCATTTATACTCCTGTTCCGTTCCAGGTGCTCCACCACTCTCCTCCTGATAATCTTCTCCATAATTTTGCATACTATACACGTCAATGACACAGGTCTATAGTTTAGTGCCTCTTTTCTGTCTCCTTTTTTGAAAATGGGAACTACATTTGCTGTCTTCCATACCTCAGGTAGTTGCCCAGTTTCCAGGGATGTGTTGAAGATTGTGGTAAGTGGTACACACAACATATCTGCTCCCTCTCTAAGGACCCATGGAGAGATGTTGTCCGGTCCCATTGCCTTTGAGGTATATCGATGTCCCTTAGCAGTTTCTTTACCTCCTCCTCATCTGTATGTATGTCGTCCAACACTTGTTGGTGTATTCCTTGTTGGTGTCCCCATCTGGTCTGTCCCCCCAGAGTCCTTCCTGTCTCTACTGTAAATACTTCCTTAAATCTCGTGTTGAGCTCCTCACATACCTCTTGATCGTTTCTTGTGAGTTCCCCACCTTCTTTCCTCAGCCTTATCACCTGGTCCTTGACTGTTGTCTTCTTCCTAATGTGGCTATACAGCAGTTTCGGGTCAGATTTGACTTTCGATGCTATGTCGTTTTCATACTGTCTCTGGGCCTCCCTCCTTATCTGTGCATACTCGTTTCTGGCTCTTCTACTAATCTCCTTGTTTTCCTGGGTCCTATGCCTCCTGTACCTTTTCCATTCTCTGTTGCACTTAGCTTTTGCCTCCCTACACCTTCGGGTAAACCAAGGACTCGTCTTGGTCTTCCTATTATTTCTGTTTCCCTTGGGAACAAAACTTTCCTCTGCCTCCTTGCACTTTGTTGCCACATATTCCATCATCTCGTTTACTGATTTTCCTACCATTTCTCTGTCCCACTGAACCTCCTGCAGGAAGTTTCTCATACCTGTGTAGTCCCCCTTTTGTAGTTTGGCCTGTCCCCTTCAGTTCCTGTTCCCTTCTCCACTTGTAACTCTACTATATAGTCAAAACTTCAGAACCACATGATCGCTAGCTCCAAGGGGCCTCTCGTAAGTGATGTCCTCGATGTCTGAACTGCTCAGGGTGAACACAAGATCCAGTCTTGCTGGCTCATCCTCCCCTCTCTCTCTGGTTGTGTCCCTGACATGTGATGCATGAGGTTTTCAAGTACCACATCCATCATCTTTGCTCTCCATGTTTCGGGACCCCCATGTGGCTCCAGGTTTTCCCAGTTCGATCTCCCTGTGGTTGAAATCGCCCATTACCAGTAACTTTGCTCTGCTCGAGTGAGCTCTTCTTGCCACCTCAGCCAGTGTGTCCACCATCACCCTGTTGTTTTCTTCGTACTCCTCTCTTGGCCTCCTGCAGTTCTGTGGTGGGTTATACATCACTCCAATGACTACTTCATGTTCTCCGGACTGAATTGTACCTACAATGTAGTCTCTTTCTCCAATCATGTCCATGCCTTCCATTTCCTCAAATCCCCATTGGTGTTTTATGAGCAGTGTGTGTGTGTGTGTGTGTGTGTGTGTGTGTGTGTGTGTGTGTGTGTGTGTGTGTCGTGTCGTGTCGTGTCGAATAAGTAAAACGCGATTTTGGCTTAAATAGCAACGCTGTTCTTGCCAAATAAGGAAAGCGAAACAGAGCATTAGACTCTTGTCTACTTCTAATGCTATATTTATGTTCTTTTACTCTTAGTTCAAGACTTTCACCAATAATAAACTATCACATATTTTACAAGAAATCTTATAGACACACCCATCAGCATTTTGGGGGGAATTTTTTATCAAAAGTTTTTTTTTTTACTGTAT